TATTGGGACTGTCTTAGGACATCCACTTCCTCTTAATACTTTACCATCACGTCATCTCTATTCATCATCTCTATTCATATCACCATCTCTGTATATACCGATTCCTCTCGCGCTCACAGAATATACGTCAGTATGAAGTCGACTTCCGTCTCAGTCAGTCCGACTTATTATTTGCGGGAAACGTCGGGATTCAAGTTCCCACACCAAATGTACAAAGTGTAAGATTTTTTTACGTGCATTCACCGATTCTCCATGGACAATCTGACGTCGCTCAAGGCAGCCTTAGTGCTCGCCTCCAGGACCAGACAAGCCGACCCGTACGATCTCCGCAACCGACAAGAGTACGTGGAAAAACGAAAGGCTTACATCGACGCCCTCACCGCCCAGAAAGTAAGAGTGAACGCCGGCATCGCCGCATCCCCACCCACAGCCACCGAAAATGAACGAGCGGCATTGGATCTCCTCCTCGCAAAGGAGACCCAAGAATTTCCTGAACTTCCCCTCACCCCACCCGAACCCGCCGAAGCCCAAGTCAGCATCCCATCCTCCGCCACCGACAATCCTAACATGCGGATGCTAAACGCGTTATGGGCGTACCAGCCAGAGGATGCCGTCATCCTCGACACGAAGGCAGTGGGCATCGACATTGTGCCCGAATACTTGAACGACGACAAAGTGTCTCCGGAAGCGTTCGTTCAATCGATCAACGTCCAACAAGCTATGCGTAAGCTCACGGACGCTCAAGCGGCGAAGCTGGCCCTTAACAAGCTGCAAAAAGGCATCCCCGGAGAATGGTCACGGAGTCTCGCCTTCGACGCCGACCCGGCCGTCCACAACTGGCCACTCCTCCGGCAAGCTTTCAACGTCCGTTTCAGACCGGGACCGAGCTACTCGGACAAAGCGGAGATAGTCCGCAACATCAAACAAGGCGATCTCTCTCCCAACGACTTCTGGGATCGCACGAGCACCATCTTCGAGCGTACTTGCGACACGCTCATCAACCTCGCCGATCGCCAGGACAACATTAGCTACCGCAAGTGTCGCGAATACCTTCGCACACTTTTCTTCGTGATCGGACTAGAGAAAAGCATCTGCGACGCGGTCATCCAAGCAGGTGCCACCAACAAAACGGAGTTGTTGGAAGCAGCCAACGCGGCGTGGCTGACGCAAGGCCGCAAGCGCAAACTCGACCTTGCCAGCAGCGTCGCCGCCGTACAACTACAAGAGACGACGCAGACGGCAGACGAGGACGTAAACGTCAATGCCGTCACGACCTACTTCCGGGGCAGGTCACAACGACGAGGCCGCGGCCAACGAGGAGGTCGCGGCTACCGACCAGGCTTCTCGCGCGGAAGTTACACGTTCCCTGCCAATCCATCTATCACCCCGTCCTCCTCCCAAACCACCGCCAATCCAACCACGTGCAACTTCTGCTCCAGACGGGGCCATCTAGAAAGCGAGTGCCGCACCAAGCAGTAC